GTTTGATCGGATCATCAGGTTATTTGATTAAAGTTTGATCGGATCATCAGGTTATTTAAGTTAATTTTTTAATTAAAATGATATTATTTTAATTAAAAAATAAAATAAAAATTAACAAATTATAATTAGATTTTTAACTAAGTTTTATCAGGTCAACCGAATCTTTAAATTATATTATTATTTTTTTATTTTTTTAATTTAATTTAATTTCAGTCTTAGATTGGCTGAGCCTTGAATTAACCAGGTCAGGTTTTAAAATGAATGCCTTGTCATTTATCAAATACCCAGAGCTTTCTTTTGCTATCTTTTGCTCACTACTAGGGAAAACCATGCACCAGCTTTGGTCCTTTGGATGAATCTTCAATATCATGCCTTCTAACTTTTTTGTTCGTTTATATATATATATATATATGATCAAGGAATCTACCAAAATAATCATTTAGAAGGTGACCAAAGCGAAGAAGAACGAGAAGGTATTTGTTACAAAACCTGAAAATTACTAAAAGCAGAGTAAAAATAAAAAATAAAAAACACTAAAATTAACATTTGAAAATATATAATAATTCGTGTTGTTAAAAAATTATTTTTTATTAAAAATTATTTTTTTTATTTTGAATTGTTTTGACAGGCTAATATTAAAAATAATTTTTTTAAAATAAAAAAATAGTATTTTAATATATTTTAAAATATAAATTATTTTAAAAAATAATTATAACCACATGTTAACTATCAACTATAAAATATCTAAACACTACCTATATCAATATATATCACTCTAATTCACTTACTGCTTGATATTAAAGTTAAAAAAAAAAAATTCAAATTGATTAACAGAAATGAAAAATAATTAATTTGACCTCCCAAATTATATATATTTGTTTTATAAGTACAGATATTAATTCTTGAACAGACTTTTCACATCAGGAAAAAAATTCCTCTCGTATCAATTAAATCTTAAGTAATCAATCTAGATTTGAATCAATCGTTTCATCTGTAATAAATTATTTTCCTACAGTTTTGGATGACCCTTGATATTATGTAAATAATTTTTCTTTTCTTTTTTAACTATGATAAAATTAATTTTCAATTGGTGGCGTTTGTTTGTGATAACATATTATTTTATATGTATAGTAGGTTATCTATAACTGCAGAGTTACTTGCTAAGTTACCGCTGCTCGGGTTTTTTTTTTTTTTTCAATTTTTTTATAAAACAATCAGGGTTTGTTTAGAGTTACTTAGGGTTGTTGAAACTTATTTAATTGTTGATTATGTATAATCTTAGGTAAAATTACTAATTATTCCTTTTTTATTATTATGACTAATAAGTCCATTTTTATAAAAGAAAAACACAAAAGTAAGTTTTATCAGTTGACTAATAATTCATCTTTTGATTTTTTAAAAAATTTCGAATTATTTTCTAATCTCTAAAATACCATTTTAAATAAAAAGTATATATTTATTGCTAACTGCCTTACCTTTCATAATAAAACTTACTATATTAAGCTTGATCTATTCATATTTTTCATTTCTTATTAATTTTCTCAACTCTCATAGTATATATTTTTTTTTTATAATTGTTAAAAGAACAATACGAAGATAAATTTATACAAAATTTAAATTAAACATTCAAACCGTGAAATGAATTAAGGAAATATAGAAATACATAATACAGTGTGAAGAATCTTATAAAATAAAAGAACGAAGAAATAAAGATTTACATCTATAATCTTTCAAAAAGGTAAGACAATTAAAGGTACATGGACAATTTTAGGACGCACAAAATAAATCAAACCTTTTTGAAAAAAATAAAAATAAAAAATAACTTATTGCTCAACGAAAATTATGATAGAACTCACTGTTCTTTTGCTTCTTGAAGAAGACCTTATTGATAGCAATCCCGACTTTTTTCAGTACAACTTATAATATCCTAACCAGTTTCAATTAAGAGAAAATATATTTAGTTACATATTGCCTTAGTATGAAAACAATATATTATTTTTTTAATTGATCAATTTCCTATAAAATTATCTATTAAATGAGAAAGAAAATTTGATATTCTTATTTACACAATAACATCTTCAAATTTTGCAATAATTTTACAAATTTATCAATTCCTTTTATTTTGAATTATCTTGATTAATTGATTTTTAATAATTTCATTCTTCATTATTTAATTTTATTTAACTTTTATATTTAATATTTATTTATTTTATCATGTTTTGAAAACTCAGATCAAGATTTGATTCCTTTCATTTCCTAAATGTTGGTTAAATGATAAGGATTACTAGGTTCAATGAATTTTTTACTATGCATGATGTAAAAATAATATTATTTTAATAAAAAAATAATTATAAAAACCTATAGATTTTAATATGATTTTCCCAAGTTCATTGCTTACTTTTTTTTATCCATTTTAAAAATAAAAATAATATTATTTTGATAAAAAAAATAGTGAAACAAAAATTCAATTATGTTCAGCTTTTTTTTCATTCATTTCGCTTTGTTTTGGATTTATTTTTCTATATTATTTTTATCTTTACCCTGTTCTATTTGATTTTATGTTTTCTATTAAATATGGTATTTATTCTCTTAATTATTGTTCTTTTTATCCTTTTTTTGTTTTTTTTAATTTTATTTCTCAACTTTTTATTTTATTTTTTTCTAATTTAGTCTTTATTTTTTTATTACTCTTTTTTTATTCATTTTTTTATTTTTTTCTTTCAATTTTATTCTTTAGCATTGTATTTCATTTGTTTTTTTATTCAATTTTGATTCTAATTCTTTTAATTGCTCTATTTTTATTCCTTTTATTTTATTTTTTGAGTAAGTCCCTCATTATTTTCTTCTATTAGTTTTTATATTAAATTTGATTCTCATTATTTTGATTTTTTTTTTTTATGGTTAAGAATCTTGTTCAAGTTATTTTTATGGTCTTTTGTATGGTTATCTTGATCTCATAACTAGAGTTGTTGGTTTTAAAATTAGCCTAGTTTAACTTTATTTTTTTAATTTTTTAATCTCATATTAAGTTATTGGGTCTTAAGTTTTTTTTTGTTTTCCCTTGCCTTCCCTTAGAGTTATCCCACGTTTTGGGTTAGTTAAGTTATACTGGGTTTATTCAAATTATCATCTTTGAGGTATTTTTTTTTATATTAAAAAAAATTGATCCATCTCACGGTTTAGTGCAAGCAAAACAATCTTGCAAAAACTAAAAAATATCAACCTTTCACTATAAATCTCATATTGATACTCTCATATTTTATTAACACTATTTATTGTGTATCTTTTCGTTTTATGTCCCTCGTATTTGTAGCTCTTTTCACTTTGGTCATTTTTTTCTTTTTTTATTTGGCCTTTATAAGTTATGTTATCATATTTTATTTTATTTTAGAATTTGTTTCTAATTAAATGCTCCAGTGTGTGTGAAGTATCATAAAGAATCCTAACGTTTAAAAGAATAATAAATTTTATAAAATAAAATTTTAGATTATTGTTGGAAAAAAAAGTAAAAAACAAAAATCAAAATTAATATAAACCAAAAAAACAAACCTTTTAATTTCAAGTTGCATTGTTCAAAAAGGGTAGAGAACTTCACATTGATCCCTCAATTTTGTTTTTTCATATTTAACCCTGTATTTTTTAAATTTTATATTTTAGACCTAAGCTTTATTTATATTGTGTTTTAGTCTCTAAATGTTAAGAAAGTAGAGATAAAGTCATTAAAAAGGAGGAACAGAGAGAGAACATGTAACTCCCGAGTAAATTTCAATATTTTAATCTACAAAAAAAAAGAGGCAAATAATATAATTTCAATATTTTAATCTACAAAAAAAAAGGCAAATAATATATATATAGGAATTTACCTGGAAGTTACAATAAGAGTTTGACTAACCACATTTTACTCATAAAAAACCCTGTTCTTGGTGGCAATGAGTTGGTTTTTAAGAAAACACTTCAATTGAAGCGGGGTTGCTCTTTGAACTTGTTGAAAAGGGTAAATTGTGGTTCATAAAGCTTAGGTTATATTTGATTGGATTTTTTAATTTTAAAATGATTAAATGGTGTGGTGTTTTGAGGTTATAAATAAATTTATCGAGATCTATATAATATTTTTAAGTTGTTTTCAAGTAAAAACTAGTTAAAAATTAATTTTTTAGAATTCCAAAATTTAATTGATTTTATAATCATTAAAGATGGTCAAGAGAAAACAATGAACGACATATGTTTTTTCCAAACAAATGATATGTCACCCTCTCAATTAGAAAAAGAAAAACAACTAGACATATGATTTGTTTTCCGCAAATTAGAGAGAGAGATGTACAAACTTAGATTTTCAAGTCCAGAAGCCTTTGAATATTTTTTATTTGTTTTGTTTTTTAATTGAATTTTTAATTTATATCCCCTTTCTTTTAAAAATTATTTAGTTTAACTATTTTTTAAATGGTAATAAATATTTTTAATTATTTATATAAATATCCAAGATAAATAAGTAAAATATAAAATAAAATAGATAGCTAAGATAAATTATTTGTATTTATATTTATCTTTTACATTTTACCGAAAAAAATTAACTTCTTATTTTAGTTTTTAATTAGAGCTTACAAATTATTTTTTGATTTATCAATTAATATTTTTTTATTATATTAAATACATATATTATTTTTATATTTTTCATTTAACAAATTCCATGATATAAAAAAAACATATCTATAGTGATATACATTTCCGTTATGAAAAGAAAAGATCAAATGAAATTGAAGTAACGATGTTCAGGTTCAAGTGTAAGAAAGCCCAAGCCTAACCATTACGGCAACAAAGCCCAAAATAACGTTTTCTGCTCACATGGGAATAGAATTTGATAGGAGGGAGGAACCATAAGGCCACATGGTGCGCCACGTGGTTTACCATTAGCTCAGTCTACTTCCAATTCATCTCAGATTCCTTCCAAATAGGAGGGAGGAACCATAAGGCCACATGGTGCGCCACGTGGTTTACCATTAGCTCAGTCTACATGGTACGGTCAGTCGGTCTCCTTCCAATTCATCTCAGATTCCTTCAGAGAGAGAGAGAGAGAGAGAGAGAGACAGACAGACAGACAGACAGACAGAGGGATTTCTCAAGAAAGAAGAAGGAAGATGATATGATTCTTCAGTCGGTCTCCTTCCAATTCATCTCAGATTCCTTCAGAGAGAGAGAGAGAGAGAGAGAGACAGACAGACAGACAGACAGACAGAGGGATTTCTCAAGAAAGAAGAAGGAAGATGATATGATTCTTGAAAGTTGATTTCTTGTCAGAAAGGAAAGAAATCTGAGGAATTTGAGTGAAACGGGATTAACAGAGATGGCTTCAAGTTTTAATGTATATAACTCAACATCATTAGCAGTAGCAGAAGCTATAGAATCAAGATCTAGCACGGCTCGAGCTAGTTTTCAATGGGGTGGAACCATCTTTGCTATGTGAGTTTCTTCTCAATTCTTTTAGCCTTTTATACTTTAAAGTCTGTTTTCATCTTTAATTTTCACCATCAATGTTAACTGATTGCTCAAAAGAAGAAAAATCATGTCTTGTTATATACTTTACTTCATCGAATTATCATACTGCACTTTTCCCTGTGTCATATTGGTGGGGTTGAATAGGAATATATGAGAAGTTAGACTTTTTATGACCTATTGTGCTTGTGAATACTATGGTTTGGGAGTAAATGCTTCATATTAAGTGGTGATTCATTTTGTGTAGTTAACCACCGCAAGTTGGATTTATGCTGTTTCTATACGGCTTTCTAGTTTAGTAGCATTGATGATAACACGTAAACCCTTTCTTGGTTGCTCTTCCAATTTGGATAAGTGAGTGCATCGAGTATTTTTGGAGAATTCATTGCTTGTGCCTCACTAAAAAGCTGCATTGTTTGTGCTGATTAAAAAAAAAAAGAATACTAGGAGTAGTAGTACTTTTTTGTGGCGGATTATAAAAAACCTTATGGGATTTTATCTGGTTGATGCTGTTCAAAAGGCTATCGAAGTTCAAACAACTTGTTTCTCATTGATTCTAACAAAGGATGCCATAACTTGCAAATGCTTCGATCAGGAGGCATAACAACATTACAGTCTTGTCATTTTCACTCTCTCTGAACAGAAACATACTATTGTTTACATGGTCTACCTGGTTCTTAGTGTTGAAGTCTGAATATTAGTCTATTTATTGTTTTAGCAATTTCTTATCCAAGGAATTGGACTTTTTTTTCCCATTTGCAACAGATTCTTGTTGATCCTGAACCGAGTAGGACGGAAATCATCTTTGCAGACTACCCTTCTTGTGTTCTATTTGCTCACAAGTTTCCCAACAGTGTTGTTCAAAGTTTTAAGGTGCTTGCATAGTTTCATAATCATAACTTTGGTTGATTTGCATTTTTTTCTGCCATTGATTCACTAAAAGTACTAATACTTTTATTCAGAGGACAATTTGGTTACTGGATTGCTTTTCTTGCTATTGCGGTTAACCTATTCTTTCCCGAAGCCTTTCCAGGTTTGCATTATTCTAGAATATGATAATTATTTTATCCTTCACATCGACATTTGAAATTTTTGCATCAACAATTGTACTTTTTGCTTACGAACTGCAGTTTCTCGTTTTATCCTATTTGTCATCTCGCCTGACCGGCTGGTAGATGGATTGCGTGATAGCATTGCTGGTGCTATCTTTTGTCTCCTGATTGGAATTTTGTCTGTCATAATGGAGATTCGAGAAATTGCAGGAAACAGGATTCTTGACTGTAGTTTTCTCTGCTGGGGTTATTGTCTTGCTATATCCTTCTTGTTCTTCTTCACAATCAAGTATCTATGCTTAGGAACTTGGTAGAAATGACCTCCACCAAGAAAGGACACCCCCTTTCATCTCAAATTATGCACCCGGGGAATTATTTTCTTGATCAGTGCCTTTGCTGACTTGAAACAGCTTAAATCTCATGCCTTAGATTATTCTGTATAAGATCATTCACTCTATCAAGTTACTGCATCAAGATATAGATTACTATTTTTTGATATTTATTGTTTAGTTTAATTATAAATTTGTCCTCAAAAGAAAAGGCACTGAAATAAGCATTAGGGTTAAGATTGTTTTGGTTTTGGCTCAGAGAAGATGATGAAGCATTGTTTATTTTCTAGGGTTCCCTTCTGGCTATATTTTTTTACCCCCCTTCTCAAAATATCGCCCCTCCATTGTATGTTGTTTTTGCACCTATTTATAGGTGGAAAATCTTGTTGTTTTCTCTAATTGCGCAGTCAAATATCTGTATTTTAATTTTAAAAAATACAAGCAACGTTAATTCAACGAGTAAAAATCAATAAAATTACCTTTGAAATTTAATTTTATTTAGACTACATTGAAAATGCCAAAAAAATATAAATATATTAAGAATGTAATTTTTTGGGTTTGTTTTTTTTGTTATTTTTGGTTTTTTTCAAAAATTTATCAAAAAATTAGGTAAAAAATTAGGTAGTAATGCAATTATTTTTTAATTTATAAATAATTTTTTAATTTATAAATATTTTTTAATTTCTCTCTCTAGTATTTTTTTTATCTTTCAAATTTAATTTTTATTATTTTGTATGTTATTTATTTTGTTTGAGATTATTTTTTTAATTGCATTTTGATTAAAATTTTATTTTTCTTTAGTTTTTTCTATCAAATTTTATCTTCATTGTTTGTTATAATATTTTTTATTAATATTTTTTTCATAATTTTATCATTAAAAATTAAGTTTGTTGAAATTTAAGTTTTTTTTTCTTATTGAACTTAGGTCTAAGATTTTAGAGGATGTAGGTGTTAATTATTTTTTAATCTATAAATAATATATCAAATTATAAATATTTTTTATTTTCACCTCATAACTATTTTTAAATTTATAAATAATCTATCAAATTATAATTTTTTTAAATTTCTTCCCTTATGATTGTTTTATCTTTTAAATTTGATTTTTATTCTTTTAATTACTATTTATTTTACCGAGGATTATTTTTTAATTGTTTTTTTTTTCAAATTTCATTTTTCCTGTTTTTCCTATCAGATTTTATTTTTATTGTTTTTATTATTTTTTCTTTCACAATTTTTTTTATTAATACTTTTCTCTTGATTTTGCCTATCAAAAATAAATTTTTAAATTTTTTAAGAGTTAAATTTCTTGATTGAACTTAAATTCAAGGTTTTATAAATTACAAGTCTTAGATATTAGACTTTGATAAAAAAACTCGCTTGGGTTTATTTTGTTTTTTAAATTAATGTTTTTTTATTTTTTATTTTTTTAGGTTTTGTTTTTTAGTTTTTGCAATTTAATTTTATAGAGTTAACCTTCTACAATATTTTTCAATTTCATCTCTGTTGTTTTTAATTTATAAATAATCTATCAAATTATAAATGTTTCTAAATTTACCATTTATATTTTTTTTATCTTTCAAATTTGATACCTTTTCTTTTAATTACTATTTATTTTGTCTAGGATCAATTTTATTTTTTCAAATTTAGGTTTTTTCCCATCAAACTTTATTCTTATTCTTCTTCTTGTTATTTTTTTTAATCTTTTGCAAGTTGTTTTTTAAATATTTTTTTCATTTATTTTATCCTTTAAAATTAATTTGGTTAAAAGTTAAGCTTATCAATTAAATCTAGATCTAAAATTTAATAAGTTATAAGTCTTAAATGTTAAATTAAATTTAAAAAGTTCACATGAATTTTCTTAATAATTTTTTACTTGTCTTCTTTAAAGTTAATGATTTATTTTAGAAGTTTTTCTTTGTTATTTTTAAAGTTTGCTTTTTATTAGATTAGTGATGAGTTGTTTTGTCATCTATGCAAACTCATATCTACTTTTTTTTTATTGCTTTTTATTAGATTAGTGATGAGTTGTTTTGTCATCTATGCAAACTCTTTTTTTTTTTTTTACTTTTTTCATATTTTTTTCAACTTATTTATTGTTATTATATTTTTTATATTATTTAAATTACTATTTAAACGAATGACTTGGAACTTAGATTTTGTTTTTTATCCTAATATTTCTTTTACATCAAAAACAATTTTGCTCCGCCGTGGCGAAACGTGAGCAGTGAAACCTATTATATTTGGGTCAAACTAGAGTAAGAAGGTCCAAGCCTCCTTGGCATTCTTGTAGAAAAACATGGTGGGCCGAGCCCATCACAATGGTAGATCTTGTTGGGCTTGGATCAGATTGATTTAAGTAATCAATTGCTGTTGGACTTCTAGATGGTCGTCGTTCGTTAAGAAAAGAGAAGGCATTTGGTGGGTCCACCTGGTTTCCTTAACTTGATTGTTGGTAGCTACCTATTCGCACGGTGTTCTGTGGGGTAAATATTTTTTTTAACAGAAAAAAATTAATTATTTCGATTTTTAATGTATTTTTATGTAAAAAATTTCAATATTAAGTATAAATAAAGAATTTTATTTACATGTATAATTCACTAAATCAAGAACTATCTATATTATATTAATAAATAAATAAATAATTAACTATTTAGTTCCAAAAACAAAAAAAATGATGTAAATTCAATATTTAATTTTATAATATGAGTCATTTAACTGATTATTTGTTAAATGACTCTTTTTAGTAAAATTAATTTTTTATTTAATCAAATAATAATAAAAATAAATACATATATAAAATTACTTAAAGAAAATTAAAGTGAAAAAATATTTCACATAAGATTGCACTTAATAGAAAAGTTATCTATTTTTTTATTTTTAAAAATAAATTTTATTTATATAAAAATTTAAAAAATAAAAATCAATTAATATAATCTCTTTAAAAACTAAATAATATAAAATAATTAAAAAATAACCATAATTAAAAAATAATAAATTAAAAATAAAAAAATAAATTATTAATATAAATATAAATTAAAAAATTATTTAAAAAAACACACAAAACATCTATTTAAAAAAGATAAAAATTATGAAAATTACAAAAAAAAAATCCTTGCACGCTTAACTCATTTTGAAAGGGCCTAGATGTGTGGGCCTTATTTTTTGAAAAATTTAGAAGAAGACTTGTTTAGTCTTTCTAAATTATGGTTGGAAAATAAAGGTTCATAGTTTTTTTGACCTAGAAAATATGTTTGTAACGTATATTTTACCTAAATGACTTGAAAAAGACTCTAAAAATCTTGACAAATCCTTTAATGACTTTAAACAATCTAAAAAGCTATAACCTAAAAAACTGTATAAAAACTAAAAATCAACCCTTAAATAAAATATCTTTCAAAGTTTAGAATTTTTTTTTAAATATTTTCAAAATAAAAAAACACTTAAATAGAGCTTATCTTATCAAATGAAATCTATTAACACAATAACTAATTATTTTGGTGGTTAAAATTACTGTTAAAACCAACTTTCTTTTCTTTCAAACCTATAAATTAAAAATAAAAAAATTATATCAAAATTAATTAAAAAAAAATTAACATATCAAATAAATATAGTTTAAAAAGTTTGAGAACTAAAGCAATTTTTTTTTTTGTAAATTTTAAACCCACTATTTATTTTTGAAACTTTTTTTTATATTGGTCACTTTTCTTTTAAATTTGTTATGATTAACAAATTTAAATCAATTTTTTTATATTGGTCCTTTTTTTTTATTTTGTTGAAATTAATAAATTTTAATAAATTTCTTTTTAATTTGACCCTAAAAAATATAAATGAAAAAAAAAACCAAAATAATAACAACAACAAAAATCTCATCAGTGAGTCCACATTTCATAAGTGGGTGAACAGTGTTAATTTGTTGGAATTATGTGCTTATTTTTCCACTGACCGGGCTGCTTCGAGGAAGCCGCGGCTCCAACTTGCACAAATACGATGTTTCTTTTTTATAGTGACAGCAGTCCGAAGTCAAATGCAGCGGCTGCTTTTTTAACTCGTTTTGCTGGTTTTCAGCAGAAGGAAAGGATGGCACCATAGGGATATATAGTTTTGTTTTGAAGAACTGTGTCTGATTTTGTCATAGCTGGGAGGTGAAGGAAGATCACGTTAGCCTGGAAACAATGCTAAAATATATTTTCTTATATGATTCAGTATCTTAAATATGTTTTTTTTTATTCACTGGTGACAAGCTTTGCTTTGGTAAACCTAACCTATGTTCTGATTTGATTATTCCTCTAATCTTACCATTCAAAGATTGGTTTAGGTTGGAAATGCAGCATTTTACTTTTAATATACATAATCAAGCACCATGCCTCCACCTCTTCCTCGCTAGTTCAATCTTGTGAAAAGAAAAAAGTTCCTCGTGCAACCTCTCTGCTCTGCCTGAATAGATATCCATTCCTCTTGAACTGTATTTTGCCATTCACACAATTAGTTCTTTCCCAAATCAACATGAGCTTCCGTTCTGTTGTTTCTCCTTTTGCTCTCTTCATTCTTTATTGCTGTTCTTTGATTCAAGCTCAGCAGCCTTACGTGGGGAAAGGTACAACAAAATGTTCAAACACAGAAAATTCCGCTCTGGGGTATTCTTGCAATGGCCTGAACAAGAGTTGCCAAGCTTATCTGATCTTCAGATCCCAACCTCCTTACACTAATGTTGCCTCCATATCTACTCTTTTGGGTTCAGACCCATCTCAGCTCTCTCAAATAAATTCAGTTTCTGAGACTACATCATTTCCAACAAACCAGATGGTGCTGGTTCCTGTCAACTGCTCATGTTCAGGCGATTATTTCCAGGCAAACGCATCTTATATTGTTCAATCAGGTAACACTCCTTTCTTGATTGCTAATAACACTTATCAAGGCCTCTCAACCTGTCAAGCTATCCGGGATCAAAAAGGTACAGGAACCGTCGATATATTTGCTGGTGAAACACTCACTGTTCCTCTTAGATGTGCCTGTCCTACAAGGAACCAGAGTGATCTAGGTATCAGGTATCTGTTAAGTTACTTGGTCACATGGGGCGATACAGTTTCAATTGCTAGTGTACGATTTGGTGCAGATATCGGGAGAGCTCTTGAAGCTAATGAAATCAGTGAGAAAAATCCCACGATTTACCCCTTCACAACACTCCTAATTCCTTTAAAAAACCCTCCAACAAGTTCACAAACTGTAGTGCCACCTCCACCTCCAGCTT